TGTGTGTGTGTGTGTGTATATGTGTGTGTGTGTGTGTGTGTGTGTGTGCTGGTACTTGTTGTATGTAAGTGACTTCCTCTGTGGCCTTGTCTCTTTCAAACCATCTGTCCCACATCCCTCGTCTCTCCAACTCTAATCTTCCCACAAAAAGGCCGACCTTGTCTCCCTCCATCATCCTGAACCCAAACACGACACGCTGTCTCGTGTTCTGTCTCTGCGACTCGTCCGCTCTCCTCCCGCTCCCGTTTTAAGTTGAGGAGACTCGCAGAGGCTTTAAAACTCAGCGGGGGACCAGCCGTGAGAATGCCTGGCCCCCGGATCACGTTGCCATCTTTATTGTAGCTCTCTTTATAGTCTTGATAAGTCTCTAACACATGCACACACAGCAGAGGCGTGTGGAGGCCTCACATAAACACATAAGCCTGTTTACTTATATCACAATGCAGATAACACATTCAAATGATCAAATCCTGAGAAGAGCATTTGATTAATTGACTTGGGAGGAGAATCAGTGAAATTCTGAGCCCTCCCCCAGTTGTTATATCAGGTTTCTGAACCTTTGCTGCTGTGAGGACACTTTCTTGGAGACGGACAGAGACACAACAATAGTTTGGGGAGACGGGCCTAGGTCCAGATACATTTGTCCGACAGAGAAGCTCCACGTGAAAACCCGACAGGTGAATGGAGCAGCGTGTTGCTGCATCTGAATCCAACTGCTTGAAACCATCACTCACCGCTGGGTTAATTTGTTTACACAGAGGTCAACGGTTTGTTTTCCTCGACTTATCACATCCTATTGTCACTGTAGCGTCAGAGAAGCCACAGTTTATATTTACATATTTATATTTATACACAGGAGACACGTTAATATTGTGGTGACTGGTGAGGAACAACTGTAACAGTTTCTCTACCGTCTGGCTTGTAACCAGCAGCTCCGCTAAGGACGTGAGCTTTCGTTTGTTTGTTGGACCTTCATGCAGTTGTTATCTCTGTGGCGTCATAATTAAACCTTCAGTCATGTACTTATACAATTTAGTGCAAACAAAAATCCAGATTTAGTGAATTTTAATGTGATTTCATAAGAGAACTGTTGGGCCTTTGCAGGGGGGGGGCACCAGGGTTAGACGAAATGCTAAAAGAGCGTCAGCAATAGAGCTAGAGAGAGAGAGTGGAGTTCGGAGGGACTGAATGAATGAATACATCAAATAATATTTAATAAATGTTCCTAGATTCATTGTTTTGGTTATTTGTTCATCAGCAGGATTTAGCAAAAACTACTGAACAGATTTTTTTACTGAACTTTGTCCTTCTATTTGTAGTTATTACCCCCAAAACTTTTACATCTTGAATTTCACGGTGGAGACGAGCCACCGTGTGACCCGACACACACTCATAAAACTACACACTAATACAAACACATCAACAAGCTTTAGACAAACGCCTAGGTCACGACTCGACAGGCGACAGCACGGGCAGATGATCGGGGCCGTGGGGCAGCTTTCATCACCGGGACACGGTCTAACACCGGCTATAAATACCGACCGTCTCTCACTGCTGAACCTCTCCCTCCACACTATGCACATCATCCCTCTTTCACAGAACTGGCCCGGCGACGCCAGGAAATACCTTGAAATCCAAACTGTGCATTGTGTGGTGGCGCGTGTAGCTCGAATCCCTCCACACGCACACACACTTTCCATCATCCCTCCTGAACCCTGCGTGACTCCACATGTCCCTGAATCATATCTACTCCCACCACACACACACACACACACACACACAC